TCTATCTTTTCACTTTCAGTCTATGGGCTTCTTTTTGCACTAGGTGTGTTTCTTGTATACAACATATTGTTGGATTTTGCTTCTTATTCCATTCTGCCAGTCTATTTCTCTTGATTGGTGAGTTGAGGACATTAACATTGATGGTTATAACTGATATGCACTGACTTATTATTGACATTTGATTTGCCTTTTGTTGATTCTTTTTACTTTTTCACCTTCTCCTTTTAGTTTCTTGCCTTGCCTATTTGATTTGCTCTGTTGGGCCTCATGGTGTTGTTACCTTCAATGTCTTTTTCTAGGATCTTGTTTAGATTTGCATGCAGTGCTGGTTTGTTATTCGTGTAGTTTCTCAGGTGTTTTTTCTCTTGGAAGTATCTTATTTCCCCATCCATTTTGAAAGAGAGTTTTGCAGGATACATCATTCTAGGTTGGAGGTTGTTCTCTTTTAGTACTTGAAATATATCACTCCAGGCTCTCCTTGCTCTAAGGGTTTGTGATGAAAAGTCTGCTGTGATTCTGATGGGCTTTCCTTTGCATATGATTTGTTTCTTTTCTCTTATTTCTTGGAGTATTTTGTTCTTCTGTTGTGTTTCTGGGATCTTGATTATGTCGAGGTGTAGATTTTTTTTTGATTGTGGCTAGTTGGGGTCCTATATGCCTCACTTATCTGAATGTCAAATTCTTCCCCTCTGTTTGGGAAGTTTTCTGTCATTAAATCTGAGAACAGCTTTTTTAAGTTATTTGTATTTTCTCCTGCTACTTCATGTATTCCTATCAGTCTTATGTTATTCTTCTTTGCATCTTCTAGGAGTTGCTGGATCAATTTATCATGGTCCCCTACTGTTTTTTTCTTCTTTGCATCATCTAGGAGTTGTTGGATCAATTTCTCATGCTACCTTACTGTTTTTAAGATATCTCTCTTTAAATGGTCACTGTCTTCTTCTATATCTGATAGTCTATCTTCACATTCTTTTATTCTGTTGCGTACACTTTCTATGGAGTGTTTAATCTCCTGGATATCTGTTTGAAACTGTTTTATGGATTCCATTTCTTTCCTATGTTGGGTGTTTATAGTTTCCATTTCTTTCATATGCTGGGCCTTCATGGCTTCTATTGTGGTGCTGAGCTTATCTATTTTTTTTTCAGTTTCTGTTCTAGAGTCTCGAATCATGCCTTTCCTTTTGCTCACCATCTCTATGGTTATCTGGCAAATTATTTCTGTTTTGAATTTTTGTAGAGACCGATTGATCTGTTTTGTCACTTCCTGTGCTTCAAGTTCAGGATGTCCTGGTGGTTCACTATCGGCCTTTTCATCCTCATTTGCAGTACTGTTTGCCATTGGAGAATTGTAAGTCTGTCTTTGTGTCTTGCTTAAGTGTTTTCTCATTTTAATTTTTGTTGTCGGACTGTCCTTGGTTTAATCTCTGGATTATCACCCAAATCTTCCTGATACGGTTGTGCCCTAGCTTCTGTGTCTCTAACGACCCACAGACATTCTTATCTTCATAACATCAGAGAAAACAGCTCATCAAATCAACCGCAATGTTTTACCCCAACTGATACAATCAGCAGCACATTAAGACCAAGCACAACCTGGACACTGAACACCTGTGGTAGTCACTAGTCTATCACCCTTAAATCATTTGAATTAAATTGAAATCAAGATGCAGTCCAGAACATGTCTGCAGTGAACAAAATTTCATTATAGTGTATTTACCATTTAATGGCTCAGACAGAGCGAGGATGCAAGACCCCTGATCTCAGTTAGCTGATGGCTGAACCCCCTGATGCTGACTGACCTTGGGCTGCAAGGCCCAGATTGAGTTCCCCATCCTTCTGAATGGTTGAACTCCACAACGTTCTACTACAGGTTTCCCACGCCCTTTCTTTAAAGATGTTCAAAGTTGGGAACTCAGAAAAATACCCTTGGTGACCACTTCTGTCTTTGCAGAGTGGGTCCAAAGAGTGGGTCCTGGCACAGTCAGGAGGTCTGAGAGTGTGGGGGCGGGGCTTATGGGAGTTCAGGGGCACCCGTGCGGCTACCTTCCCGTCGCTTGAGCAATGGCGGCTGGGTCGGGAGCAGGTGCGGTTCTCTGGCTGTTATTCTTGAGTAAGTTTTGTTTCTGCTCTGTCGTCCTGGGGATGGAATCCTGGATCTTCATGCTGATCTACATGTCTAGCACTTTTAAAAATTTGTTTGAGACAGGGTCTTGCTAAATCATTAAGTTGCCCAGACTGGGCTCAAACTTACGATTCTCATGCCTCAGCCTTTCTGAGTGCTGGGCTTACGAGAGTGTGCCACGACGCATGCCTGGCTTGACACCACTGTCATTCTGCTTGTGCCGGCTGGGGAACCAGGAGCCCGGGGTCAGTGCTGTGACAACCCCTAGGCCAGAGATGGGAAAATCGAGGCTTGGAGAGGCTAAGGAACTCGTTCATGGTCACAGCGCTGGGCCACATCAGCCAGGTGCCACAGTCGGATCTTCAGCGTCCTCCAGAGGCCCATGGCGCTGCTGGGAGGTGGTAGCATTGTGAGGATGCAGGGCCTAGAGCAGTGGTGGTGGACCCATGGCACGGGTGCCACAGTGGGCTGTCTGTTACCATGGAAAGCTCTTGGAGGTCCTCCACCACTGGCCTAGAGGAAGGGATTTGGCCTGGGGTTTGTTCAGGCCCCCAAATTATGACGCCAACCAACCATGGACTGAGCCCTTTGAAACTGTGAGCACACATAGTTTCCTATTTTTAAATTGCTATCTCAGGAATTTTGTCACAGTGATAGGAAGCTGGCTTACCCTGGGATGGGTGTCCTGGTTCCACAGACTGCTCACCTAACCAGCCCCTTTTTTTGTCCTAAGAGGAAGAAGATGTCAGAGAGACCCGTGGCACTAGTCCTGGAGACCACAGGCGTTGATGTTTCTCTCTAGGTACAAATCTTCCTCCCCCCTCCCCCAAGGGCACAGCGAGTGTCCACCAGACCATGCTGTATGCTGTGCGGGGCACATGACTTAGCACAGGGAAAAGTGTTAGCTGTTGGGGCAGCCCCGGCCACCCCTTTGCCTGCCCTGGTTCCTGGAGCCAGCAGCCCCTCAGCAGAGGCTGCATGGACAGCTGGGGAAGAAGAGCCAAGATGGAGGAGGGATATGCAGATCTGCCAATGTGGGCTGTATCATAGTCACGACTGTTGTGAAAATGTGGGACTCAGCATAAACAGGACTGGTTTCTCCCTCAGACAGCCGGACATTGCTCTTGCAGGGAGAACGCGCTTACCTGTCGCAGGACCAAGGGCAGGCACTAATGTCCTGAGAGCCAGGTCCCCTGCCTGCCCTGCCTTGGGTCTTGTCTCCCTCAGGAGGATGCTGCCACTGTGTTTCCAGCAGGTGGCGCCAAAGGCTCCCTCCTCACCCGCAGGTTGCCGGGTTTGGGAAGGAGCCCCTGGATGTGGGAAGATGAAGCCGGGGCCCAGGCTGACGCCCGGCTGACTTTGTTTCCTTCTCCACCTCCAGCTGGTAGATGGGGCAGGGAAACTCTCATAAGGGATCAAATCCCAGCTGTGTCTGCTGAAGGCTATGTGGCTTTGGGCCGGTTGCTTCATCTCTGAGCTTCAGTTAGGGCTAAGCGGGCCAGCGTATGAAAGCACCAAGCCATGGCAGGCTATACACGGGCCTCTGTCGGCCATCAGAGCCCAGCGCCGGCTTGGGCTCTCACCCTGTCTGGTTGCTTAGGTGAGGATGGCGTTGAGCTGCTAGGAAGACAGACTGACGGTCACAGTGATGCCCCTTTTGGGGAGAGTTGAGCTCCTTACCTCAAAGGCTGGGTTTGAATTTGTGATCCTCCTGCCTCAGCCTCCCAGAGTGCTGGGATTATGGGTGTGGGCTACCACGCCTGTCCCCTAGATTTTCTGCATCTCTCATGGAAAAACCAGAGGGAAATTCCAGTTTGCTTAAAGAATAACTGTCTTGCAAAACAGAAGCATAATGTTCATAAGAGATCTGCAATTCACACACCCCCCACACACAAGGCGGGCCCAGAGGGGAGATTTCTGTTTGGTTTCCTGGGAAAGGCAGGGTGTGTCCAAAATACACTGTGCTCTGGGCGTCCAGTTCCTGGAAGGAAGTGGAAGAGTCAGAGTTGGGGACAGGCGGGCCCAGGTCTGGAGCAGCAGGGACTGATAGGACTGGAGAAGAGGCGGCAGGGCCATGGGTGATGCTGGTGGGTGTTTCCACCCACGTTGGGGTCCCGGCACCCTGAGGCTGGAGTCACGCGTTGGTGGTGGCCGAGTGGGGGCACCGTCTGCGGTCACACCTGGTTCCCCTGGGGCCCCTCCTAGAGGACCGCGGGGTGTCCCAGGAGACCGTGGTGAGGGTCTCGGATAGCAGGGCTGGGGATCCCCCCAGGTAGGCAAACCATAGTAACAACAGGACGCTTCGGAGGTGAGGGGCTGGGAGACCGGGAGGCCGGAGCCCAGAAGCCTGTGGGCAGGATGGCCGAGTGGCCCAGAGGCCTTGATGTTGGGATCCGCCCATCACCAACACTGCTGGCTCCTTGGGGTTCCAGGGCTGGTCTGCAGGGTGGGGGCGTCACGTGGCCATCAGCACCTCAGTGAGTTTGTCTTCACCTTGGCTTTCCTGGGTGCTGAGGGCAGGGTGCTGGGAGTTCAGGTGTAGGGGGATCGGTCCTCTCGGGGAAAGGGGCTTCTGGTCCTGTCGGCTGCAACAGCCCTCCTCTTGCAGCCCAGAAATTGAAGCGTGTCAAGAGTACCCCTTTGGAATCAGAAACACCCCATTTAAATCCATCACCACTACCTGGATGTGGTGGTGCGCACACCTGTAATCCCAGCACTCAGGAGGCTGAGGCAGGAGGATGGCTTCGAGTTCGAGGCTGGCCTGGGCTACATAGTGAGTTCAAGACTGGCCTGAACTACATAATAAGACCGTGAATAAACAAACAAATAAGCAGAAAAACAAAAAAACCCACTGTCAATGCTGCATAACTCAGTAGGTGTCCATATTACAAGATCAGAGTTTTAATAAGATTTGTAAGAACTGCATCTGATGACACAGGACAGGGCTGACTGCACTGGTCCTTGCAGCCCTCGGTGCCCTGTGAGGTCCCCGCACCTGGGTCGAGTGAGGGTCAAGAGCTGTTTGTCACCTGGCTGGTTCCGCTTGACCCCTCCCACTGTGTCCTGACTAATAATATTATTATTGTTGTTGTTATTGTTTTGTTTTGGAATTGCAGGCCTGTGCCACCACACTGGAAGTGCTCAGAGGACCAACCTTCCACAACCCCGGCCCGCTCAGCCCTCTCTGCCTGTGTCCCTCCAGCCTGTGTGTGCCTCCTCGCCTGGCACCAGACATGGAGTCCAGAGGCTGTGGCACCTGCCTGAGCTGCTGGGCTCTGGCTCCTCCAGGAAGTGTGGTGGCCACACTGCCCTGTCCCCAGGTCTGAGGCTGTCGGGCAGCTGGGGGTGCTGGGGCTCCCCAAAGCCTTGCTCCTCTGGCTGGCAGCATGGCCCGGCCTCCCCTCACCCTATCTCAGTCAGGGGGTGCAGCCCGTGGGAGGAGCGGCCAGGAGGGGCCCTGGAGGGCTCGGGGCTCTGATCCCAGGGGGTGGGGCTGTGCAGCCCCTCAGCTTCTCCCGGATCCCAGCAGTTAAGGCTCCTGAGGCTGCTGGATCCTGAGCTCAGCCACGATAAATGTGATCATTATGTCCTGCAAGCGCAGACAAAAAAAATAAAGAAGAATTGTAGCAGACTCATCAGCACAAGGCTTAAAGGCCAGGAGGGCTTGGTGTGAACCGTCTCAAACCCTACAAAGATAACAACTTCTTGCTGGGGATTTAGCTCAGTGGTTCCGCCGCCTGCCTCACAAGCACAAGGTCCCGAGTTCAATCCCTGGTACCAAAAAAAAAAAAAAAAAAATGATAACTTCTAACCCTGACTTGTGTGTCCCACATAACTTGCATTCAAATTGACAAAGATATAAGACATTTGAGGGCTGGGGATTTGGCTCAGTGGTTCCGCCACCTGCCTCGCAAGCAAGTGTAGGGGCCTGAGTTTGCTCCCCGGTACGAAAAAAAAGAAAATTTTTTTTTGCATGACAAGGAGCAGCTGGAGCAATTCAAACCAACTCTGCAAAGCTTCTCAAGAACATTTTAGAAAGAGACAAGGAAGCGGACGTTGCCTGTACACCAGGAGGAAATGAACACCCCGGTGAGGCCTGGCTGCGTGCTGGGCTGACGTGCTGCTGAAATCTCCACATTTTGGGCAAGCTTTCCCAGCAGCCAGGAGAAACTAATCTAGAAAGTGAGGGGAAGGCTGCAGGCACAGTCAGGGGGAAGAAAGTCAGCAGCCAGAAAGGGTTAGGAGTTGATCCCCAAAAGTCTCCCCAGCCCCAGGCCCACCACCCACTCTCTGCCCAGCACCTCTCACTCCTTTTAAAGTCATCTGACTTTCAGGAAGTGAGTGTTCACTTTTATAAGCCTCAAAACATTTATTTTTTTAAATTTTTGAGACAGGGTCTTTCTATGTAGTTCAGGCTGGCCTCAAACTCACTATGCAGCCCAGGCTGGCCTCAAACTCATGGCAATCCTCCTGCCTCAGCCTCCTAAGTAGTGGGATTACAAGTTTGTGCCACCATGGTTGGCCTTGAAACAAGCTTTAAAATCTTTTTGTTTACTTGGTGATACTGGGGATGGAACCCAAGGCCTTCCTACTGAGTCCTTTTAAAATTTCTGCATGTAGTCTTGCTAAATTGCTAAGTTACCAGAAATTTGCCATCCTCCTGCCTCAGCCTCCCAGAGTACTGGATTACAGCAAGCCCTGGGCTCCTCTCTGTCCCCTCTTCACCGTCAGCTCCTCTCCCCCGAATGTCCCTGACCTGTGCCCCTCCTGCCTCACCCCCTCGTGGCTGGGAGCCGGGAGATCTCAAGGAGAAGCCACCTCCACCGGACTCCTGACTGTCAGCACCCAAAGTGGCCATAGGATTGCTGCAAATTCTGTCACGCTGACAGCTGATAAAGGCCTCGCGCCCAGTACCCTGATAAATCTGGGCTGTCAGGGCCTTGTCTTGGGCCAGTGATCACCCTGGCCTCCCCACCCCTGCACCAACTTCCTGCTGCCTGTTGACAGCCAGGCACAGCCACCTTGAGGTGACTGGGAGGAGGCTCTAACTTGCAATCCTCCTGCCTCAGCCTCCCAGAGTGCAGGAATTACAAACCTAAACCACCACACCTGGCTTTTTGCTTAGCCAGCCTACCTGATTTTTTTTTCTCTCTCTCTCCCTCTCTTTCTTTCTCCCTCCCTCTCTCTTCTTTTCTTTGCTTTCTTTTTAGTTTTTGAGACAGAATCTTGTTATGTAGTTCAGGCTGGCTTTGAACTCATTGTGATCCTTCTGCCTCAGCCTCCAGAAGACTGGGTTTACACGTGTTCGACATCATACCCAGTTCTTTGCTTGGTTTAAGACCACTCGTATTCGAAGTACATGAATATGCCATTGGGTCTGTATATATATTCCAATGGAATTGTTCCTAAGATAATTTAATTACAAACTGAATAGCCTGTTGAGTATGCTATAATCCCAGCACTTGAAAGGCTGAGGCAGGAGGATTTCTGGGAGTCTAGGGTCATTATACAGTGAGTTCAAGGTCACCCTGAACTATGTAGGGAGACCCTATTTTGATCCACTCCCCAAAAAGTGTAAGAAGGAAAAATGCATAACTTAATCATTTAAGTTTAAAAAATACAAATAGGCAAAATACATTGGCGATACCATCAGACCCAGGCATGGAAGAAGTTGACCCAGGGATGATCTGGATGGGACAAAGATAACCCTTTAATTTTGCACCTTTTTAAATGGCTTGGTTTTCCTCTCTCTCTCTCTCTCTCTCTC